CACACACACACACACACATTAAATAAATGGATGAATAAATAAATGTTAACTAAGAAATTGTTTTAAAATTTTAAAAATTGGAACTAGAGAGATGGCTCAGTGGGTGAAAGCACTTCTGCTCTTCCTGAGGACTCAAGCTCAGTTCCCACCACACATAGCAAAGCACCTTAAATCCAACTTCAGGGGATCTAACATGCTTTTCTGTCCTCCACAGGCACCTACAAATATGTGCCATACATTCACATAAACACACACATATATCTACACACACATATGTGTATGTCTGTACTAAAATATTTTTAAAATGGTGGGCTGTATCAACTCATTGGCTTCAAAGCATTCTGTTCCACATTTGTAGTGGGAAGATGAAGGAATTGAATCTGTGGTTGCAGGGAGTCAGATCCAAAGGTTGGGCCCTTTGGTTATTTAACAGGAAAGACTGGCAAATGTGATAATTTAGATGCCAACTGGAGTCTACATGCAATACTCAGAGTGAGGTCACCAAGGCCTAAATGTGGACCTTAGATGTAACACAAATAATAAAAACCCAGACACTGATATTGGGGTTCAAGCTTCAAGATGAAGATCAGAGAAGCAAAACAACTAAGCTCTTATCTCTACCCAGATTGAAGCAATCCTGCCCTCAACATGGCTGGAGACTAACTGCTCGAACATGGCTGGAGGCCAAATATGCCCCAGACTAAATATCTGCTCCTATCTTAATATACCTTAATATACCTCAAGTGCTGGGATTAAAGGCATGTGATCCCTTTGTAGGAACTATTTCTCTTTTAGACTGGATCACTTTCCTGTAGCTCAGTACTGCCTTGAACTAAAAAGATCTGTCTACCTTTGCCTCCTGAGTCCTGGAATTAAACATATGTTCCACCTCCACCACCTGGCTTCTATGGCTAGCTAGTATGGTTGCTGGAAATAAAAGTGTATATCATCACCACCTGGCTCTATGGCTTGTGGCTAGCTTTGCATTGTGAACCCTCAGGCAAGGTTTAATAAAGCATAAATAATGTATTACCACACTTAGCCTCAGAATAAAGGGCACAGCCTCTTACATAAGGGAAAGTATGGCTCAGAGCAGAGATTCAGTCTGAGGGTATTCTGACAGGCCCACTTTTGCTGAGTTCAATGCTGAGTACAAAAGGTCTCCATAAATGCACTTAAAGGACTTACTGTAGACAAGTCCATTTTAGATAGTGCCCTAGAAATTTGGCTCAAATTGCATTTTAATCATAAACTAACTGTAATGGTGACTTCTATAAATGAAATAAGTAAGAACAGCAACAAAATCCTTAACTCAGAGAGTTCTCAACAACTTCCCAAATAAGTCAGTTTCATAACTGAAAATTGAGCAATCGTTCTCTCATCCCCAAGTCCGGCACTGTTGACTGCATAAGCTAGCTGTCCTTGTAAGCAGCCACTCTCCTCTCAGAGTCATGAGAATGACTTTAAGGAATCCCACCAGCTCCAAGTTCTTTTCCATCTAGTCTTAGTCACTAAAGATTTTAGTGCATTTCCCCCAAAATATGAGACTTACCAAGGGCAAAGTGGGAGAGGTTCTAAGGCTACACCCCCTCCAAGTAGAATTTTGATCCCAAACATTTATAATTCCAATTGAGGAAATACAGAAAAGACCAAAATATCTAAAATCTGAAACCCTGAAGGGCTACATCCTCAAAATAAAATTACAGTAAAACAATTTTTAAAAATTATATAAAAGATATTTCCTTAACATTTCAGAGAGTGGTTTATGTGAAAAACCCATATAAAAACACTAGGATGCCTCAAAGGCTACATTATGCAATAAAAGAAGTAATTACATGTATGTTTTTACAATCAAAACACCCAGACATATTAATAACAATCATAAGCAGATTAACTGTTCATAAAGAAATGGGTCAAAAATTAGAATATGTAAACACATATCACCATCATTGCAATTGCTTGCACCTCAGTGCATAATTGCTGGCATTTGAAGTGTGATGGCAGACATTAAACATGTAAGGATGACATGCATGAGAGCCCACAAGGGGGAAATGCAGACCCCCAAAGAGCTGAGGCCTCAGGATTTTTCTGTCATGGATGCAGATCCCTTCATTCCTTGAGGGCGCTTTCATGTTCTTATAGACACACACAGTTCTTCCTCGAAAGTCAACCTTGTGATATATTGCACTTGTGTTGAGACAAACGTGCAAAACCAGTGCCTAGGATGAATTAGAACTCTGAGTGAGCAGTTTATACTTTCAGAAGTAGCAGTTGTGAGTGACCCACATGAAATTCATGCATAGAAAACAGGAAGAGGAGTGGGGAAAGCCGGAGACTTGCCTATGTAGTACAGTCTGTAGCCTGGCAAGCCTGGCCTTCTGATGACCACGGCAAGTAGAGAAAAGCTCAGAGAGACACCAATTTGCTTTCTGTATTGTTTCTCTGTACTCAAGATGGGTTGGATGCTGGGATTCTGCCCATGTTAAAGATGAGTTTTTCTTAGCTGGGCCAATCAGATTCACATACTGACCTCCAGTGAAAAACCCTTTCCAGACACACTCAAAATAATGTCTTGCCAGGTCTCATTTTACTAAACACTATAGGACACCTCAGTATATAACCAGGAACACTGAGTTGTTTCCTGAGAAACTGGCTTTCTATGCTAATAGCCCTTTTATTCTCTAATGGGCATTTAGGGTTTTGGATTTTTGTCTGCCATGATTTTCACAGTGGAATTATCAGTATATACTTTCAAGTCTCAGAGTGGAAGGGGAAGTGAGCTTTCTTTTGAGTATAGGCAACTAGACAGCATGAGTGTAACCAGTGTGATTTTAACATACCTACCTGTGATGGTGGGTAACTTCTAGCATAAGTCATGTTGATTGTTAGTTGGCAACTTTACTTGGATTTCCATTAGAAAATATTTTTGGTAATACTTTCCTATGATGTCCCAGTTTATTCATGTCAGGTTGTCCTGAGGGTACGGTTTTTGTCTGGGGTCACAAAAATGATAATATAGGATCTTAAGAATATTTGAAGTTGATGGTCAGCCTGGGTAGAAAGGGTAGTTTCTGATGCAGTTCTTTTTAAATGTGCCACGCAGTTCTGGCCATCCCAGCTTACACAGTCATGGAAATGAAGTGTTAAGATTGAATGCACTATCCCAACGGGGAACCACAAATACCACCATGTTTAAGAACTTTCTGATTTAAGATAATTTTTACATCAATAAAACAAAAAAAATTGTATAAGACATTTTAAAAAGATTATTTCAAGTTTGGTTTTTTTAAAACACTCTTTGATAAATAAGGTTTTTGGAACTGGCCATATAATTTAACTCAAGGCCCAGGCAGTAGAGCCTGCTGAAGTAGCCTTGCAAAACTTCCTCATCAGGATGGAAATACAAAGGCCAAGAGGATTTTAACTGCGTATTGGTCAAGCCATAGGATGTCTGAGCCAGGTGGCTGACAAGCCTCAGACCAACCTCTGCTCTCTGCTCTCCTGTTTTCTTAACTAAGAGACAAAGAGGACTGGCATGAAGTTTGAGGATATTTGCAGCTTTCCCGGGGGAGTTATCCTCCTTAACTCTTTGCTCACCAAGGCAGGGGGAAAGAGGCTTTTGAGACACGGGGAAAAGAGAAAAGGCCGAAGGAACCACAGATGCTTGGAAATACTGCAACCTGTTATGTGCACACACGTTTGTTTACTAAGCTCTTTATATGATAGATGAGACAATTTGGCAGGCACCAGAGGGGAAACTAGAATCCGGAGAGCTGGGAAACTATTCTTTAGGGGTAAAAGATTTCTTCTTTCTCCTAGCAGCTAATGAGAAAGTGGGTCTGAGCGATTTGAGGGCCCCAAGTATGGCAAGGGTGGGGAGGAGTCCCTTAGGCTCCCCAGACTGACAAGAAGCCTAGCAGCCTTCAGGTCGGACGCTCCTTGTACAAGCCCTTACCTGCGCTGTTGGGTTTCATTAACAGTGCATGTCCCACCAAGGGGTAGGCACGCACCACCGATGGGATAGGCCGCATCTGCTGCCATTTCCGCGCATAGTTCGCCAACATCTGCAGGATGTTGAGCAGGACAGTGGCACCGGCCACCGAGACTGCGCTCGCTGCGCCCCACAGCAACAGCTTCTGCCCGATGAGCCCTAGCCACAGCCACATCATCTCTCTGATGTTGCTCTTTCCTTGCTGGCAGCGAGCCGGTGGTGATCAGAGGCAGAGTGAGGGAAGTCTTGCTCCAGGGACAGGACCAGTTCGGAGACTCCCGGATGCAGGAGCTCTGAGCTCAGCGAGAGGACCCAGGGCACGTCAATCTGTTTGCTCAGGTCTTCCTGCTCTGGAGCCGGGGAGTTCTGCAGTCACAGCCGCCACCAGACCCTGGGGATAAAGTTTCTGAGGCTAAGAGAAAGCGTCACTGGTTTGTTAATGATGTACCGCTGGAGCCTTACGTAATCCACGCTGGTCTCCGGGGAGCTAGACGAAAGTGAAAGACCCGGAACAGCTTCTGAGCGCTGAAGTTCAGAAGGCACTTGTAGACTCTCGCTGTGGGAAGATGAGAAAGATGACAGGGATGGGGGGTGGGAGTGTCGAATTTAGGACAGTTTCTGGATAAAAGAAGAAACTAGAAATTCACACTACCGGCTCTGGGACACCTTGAGGCCTGCTAAGATTTGCTGTTTAGGATTTTGCAGCACCCGTGTTAGGTGTGGAGTTACGGCGGCGAGCAGTCTGTTTTCAAAAATTTAAATAGAGAGTCATGGGTGTTGAAACGCAGTCTTTGGAATTCTAAATCCACTCGTCCTTGTGCAACCTGCCTCAGTTGCTGCCCTAGGGCAGGGCTGGCTTCTGCCTCAGGGTCAGGCACTGCAACCACTTTGCTGTGCCCTAGACCTTTAGGGGAGTCACATGTCCAGTGAGTGTCAGCTGACCGATTGAGACACTGGAGCTAAAGGAGACTGCAGTCTAGGCCCTTTGCCCCCAAATCATCTGATCAAAGAAAGTCAGAACTTGACAGAATAGGAAGAGGGGAGGAAAGGATGGGAAGGTAAGATGTCAAGGAATGCAGGGTTTGGAAGGAAACAATAGCTATGATGCACAGTCAAAACGCTGCTAAAATCACGGAGCCTGCAGAAGGAAAAGGTCAGTGAGAGCCCCACACCCACACCCTCTTCATGGCCTGTTTTCTGACCACCATTGGAGTCCAGCCTTAACAGCACTCCTCTTTTTACACCAGATTCTCCTCACCAAAGGGCGGGACTAGCAGTGCTCTTTCCTAGTAGAAGGTCCCTCCCTGCACACTGATGAGGTAGAGTGCCAAGAAAAGTTGAAATCCAAAGAATGTCTTGGATTCCCGTTTTTGTTTTTGTTTTTTTCCTTAGTTATTTTCTTGCAGAGATTTCATGGATTGCCCACAGATGCCTGCGTGGCCTCTGGGATGTGAAGAAAACACACCCAGGGCTTTTCTCAGTTCAATTAAAATTTATTTTTATTATATATTGTATTTTATATATGCATGGGAGCGTGGAGATCAAAGGACAGCAGCTCTCTCTTTCTACCATGTGGGTTTGGGGAATCAAACTCAGGCCGTCAAGCTTGGCCCAGCTGAGTCATCTTGCCCTCCCCTCCAGCTGCTTTTTTTAGAGAGCCATCAGTATGCACTTACACAAGAAGTTCATAAACTATTAAGTGAAAGAGCAAAAGAAAACAAATGACAAAGCAAAATAGACATCATTACATCATTGTTTAAATTAGTATATTAGTATATGTATTCATATATTAATGCAGAACATTAATATATTTCATAAAACATAATAATATAAACATAGGTGTTTCCGCTTCTCTTAGATATTTTTGAACTCAATTATGTATTTATTTCATTTGTATACATGCGTAGAACTAGAAGTGCTAGATTATGTATATATTCAGCCTTAATATTAATTGCCTGTTTTCAAGAGTTGTACCGACTTACTGTATTTATTATATTTTTTGTTATGTACTGCACATACATAAGTATATCATTCATGTATAAATATAGTGGGAGAAATCTTTTCTTTGCAATGGAAAGACAGTGGTATGGAGGAGAGGAACTTAGACAATGACTTCTTCTTTTTATTTCTGCATTATTGAATCACTTCCAGACTTCCTTAAAAAAACAATATGTTTACTTAGTCTTGTTAAGTATGTCTCATGGGCTTTAGTTTCCTCCCTTCTAAAGGACTGAGGCTGAGGTATGAGGTCAGTTGCAGCTATAAGAGGGGAAGATACATACGCCTCTATGCGATTTGCTGCTAATCTCTGTGGACAAACATAAACCTGTCTCCTCAAAAACTGGGTCAGGCTGTGCCTCAAGAAGTGACAAATAAGGGTACAGGCAAAAGAAAGTTCCCAAACAAGGAAAGGCATGAGTGCTACCAGACCTTCAGGGTCGCTCCTTGGAGCCCTGACAGTTTCAGGGAGGCAGTTCAAGTTAATGTGTGTATTCAGGGTGCAACAAACAGAGCCAGGACTCCAGCCTTAGGAGCTTTGTCATTAATGAGGAGGGTGGGTATTGAAAATCTGTCCTGAAGCCAGGCAGTGGTGATGCACACCTTTAATCCCAGAAATCGGGAGGCAGAAGCAGGCAGACCTCTGTGAATTGGAGACCAGTGTGGTCTACAAGATCTAGTTCCAGGACAGCCTCCAAAGCTACAGAGAAACCCTGTCTCGAAAAGCCAAAAATAAATAAAAAAGAAAAAGAAAAAAAATCTGGCCTGAGGGTAGGGAAGGTAGGCTATTTTATAGATAGAGATATTAAAGATGGGGGCTCTGATAATATAATATAAGCTTTGCTACCTTCATCAGTTCTCCAAGTTTCTTCTTCTTCTTCTTCTTCTTCTTCTTCTTCTTCTTCTTCTTCTTCTTCTTCTTCTTCTTCTTCTTCTTCTTCTGTAATGATTCTTCTCATACTGCCTTGTAATACTGAAGTTTCAGACTATGTCAGATGGCTGGGAGTGTAAGAAATGTGTGGCAAGACCCTTCCATAGGACAACCATGTGACAACAAAGCACACAGTATTATTGCCCTTTAGAATCCCCACTAGGAAGTGCAATGGTGTTTTGGGGGGCACATGGTTGCATTGCCAACACTAAGAGAGTAGATCTGTGGCATGTGTGACCACTCCTGGCAGGTTGTCAGCCTCACAAAGCTAATCTAACCAAACAGGGAGGTGTCTTGTCACTTCCCTACCTGAAGACCATTGATATAAAAGGGGGCTTTTCCCATTTGAAGGAGCCTTCATTGGTACATGATATGCATCACTGCTTAACTCAGTGTATTGAATATTACAGACAGTTCCCAAGTAATCCCACCCATTTACAATATAACACCATCTTGGCATCCTCTTGGGTAATCCCATATATTTACAATATAAAACCATCTCTGGACTGATGGTCACTGGCTGCCAATGATTTTTCAACTTTATAATGATACTTTTAAAAATTCCACACTTGGTAGAAACCGTAGAAACTCAGTCTTGAATTTTAAGTTTTGACTTTTCCAAGGCTGGTGAAAAGTCTCACAAATGATGGGTAACTGGAGTTCTGCATTGCCAGCACATTTTGGATACAGGCATTCAGTACTTGATAGGATATAATGAATAAGACTTTGCATTAGATTACCTTTGTCCAACAGTAGGCTAAACGCCAGTGTCTGGAGGAAGTTTAGGGTAAGCTAACTAATAAGTATGGTAGATAAATTAAATGCACAATTTCCTTATGAGACTTTCAATTCCCAATGGGCTCTGGGAACAGGTGTACATGGGGACAGAACTCACTTTATAACTCTGGTCTGTACTTCTCCAGATACCAGAATACTTAGACATTTCTACTCAGCCTGGCAATGAGCATCTGAAGCACAGTGTTCTCACACATCCCAATACTTATTTTCTTTCTCTCTTTCCAGTTCCACTGTATTTCCAGGAGATGAGGCAAAGGCTCTAGAGTCACTCTTGATCCTTTTCACAACAGCACTCCAAATGTTGTCAGCTCAGTTTCAGAGTAAATTTAAAAGCCTGTGACTTCTGCCTAGCTACTGTCATGTAGCCTGAAACAGGAGGATTTCTTGCCAGTAATCCCTTCATCCTCAGAACCGAAGTCATTTCACATTTCACACTGAGTCTGACCATTGCTCATCTTTCTCAGCCCCTGCCTGCCTGCTATCTCCCTGGAGTCATCTTGTGAGTCATCCTCTACCGTTAACACTGCATTTTCTCCTCACCTCTCTGCTGCTCCTCGAGTATTCCCTGTGTCGTCCCTGTGGGTTAATTCTACTCTGAATTTCTTGTGTATATTTCCATGGCTGATTTTCTCATTTTTGCGCCTTTGACTGTGCAACCTCAGAAATACAGCCTTGGCTGATTACTCCACAGGAAGTTGTGTGCTCGGTCACCTTCTCTTGTCAGTTTCTTTGTACTGCTGGTCACTGGCTGGCCCTACATTGTTACTTAATTTGTCTACTTCTTAATTTGTCTACTGTTTATCTCTTCCCCTAGAACCTACATTCTCTGAGAATGAAACTTTTGTCTTATTCAGCCCAATTTAAAAAAAAAATTAACACAAATTGCT